AATTTTCCCATTTATGTGTAACAAGATGTCCTGGATTGAAACGATCGGTACATGTATAAAAATCACCATGATGACATGGAATGCCAGTACCCCACCGATCATTAACAACCTTCGTTAGAAAATATATTTCATTATTTTCTAATTAGTAGTCTATTTAACATGAAAAAACCAACACATACAACTGTGTCTTTTACAGGACTTTCATTATACAGCCATGCAAGAAATCCTGTCGAATTCCAGTAAATATCTGAGGCCTCTGAAAAAAAAAACTTGAATATATTTAAAAGATATCAAACGTTATTTGAATTTTCAAACCCCAATCACCATCTGACCATATTACTGAAGGCCTATAGTTTTCAACGATTTCTTTCAATTCAGGTAATGTTTTCATCTATAAATTGAATTATTCTCAATCTTATGAGAGGTTCATTAAATCGCCACGTAGAATAGTAAAGATTTGCTGCAGAAAAATTTTAGTTTTTGAAATGAGTTGATAGTATGAAGGAGAGTAAAAAGTTATACAGAAATCCAAAGTTTGATAACTTGTGAATAATTTCACCTCATACTTTACTCACTAAGTAGGTTTCATCGATAATAGTACTTTGTCAAAAACTATAGTTTTTCTTTATGAATTTTCTTTGCATAAAATTTCCATCAAATCCATTGTTCAATTAAATCTATCGATGGAACCAAAGCTACCCTACAAAACTTTATATTTCATATACTTTATTATATACTTCGTCAATTAAAAAAGTCCATTATGATAGATGAAATCAACTATCTTTTGATCTATTTTATATGGTAGGTTTTATTTCCTTTTCAGTCAATTAATTTGCACGAGCTTAAGATTAATTTTATATTTTTTTTGTAGAGCGTCAAAAGATGCATCTTTTAGTAAAAACTATCGGTTATAAAGTATTATTAACTTCCTGAAAAGTCTATGGCAGTCTTACTACAAATGGATAATTTTGGTATTTTCAAGAAAGTCTAAGGTATTTGGTTCTATATCATAAAAATTATTCAGAAAAAGATATAGCCGAGCTGAGATTGACAATTAATTATTATAACACTACAAGGTTCGAGCGAAGGTCTAAAATCTGGATGTTCTTCATTACTAGATACCTGAACAGAGATTGTCAGCAATGGTTGAACATGATCCTACGAGTAATTAGATTCCTTTTATACCAAACTGATACTGAATGAACATAACTGGCAGTTATTTTAAATTTAACTATAAAACATTTATTTATACTAGTCAGAGTGACAGAAAAAATTAATGACTGTCATATGTATATAGAATCCGACGATGGATGATAATAAGCACCTTTCAGCTACTCATTTCATTAGTAATGAGATTGTTTTTAAATAAAGTTTGATAGTATTTAGTAGACCTCCAGCAAAAAATACCCGTTGTATAATAACTAATGTGATATTCAAAACGAGCACCAAAGACTCGGTAGGATTGAGTGCGTTTTACAAATTTCCATAACACTCTCATTATGTGAAAAAATTGACTTCTAAACCTCCCTTTAGAATCTACTCAAAAGTTCAGTTACATGGAAACTCTTTATTTTGTTTTTTTTTGTCATTTGCTATTTGGAGTCCTACTATTGTTTTACAATGCTGCAAGTTGATCTTCACTCTCAAAATACTTTTTCTACAAAATTCATTTTTTTCCTAGCACCTTACCAGAACTACAGGTGAATTTTTCCATCCAAAAAAATTTTACTCAAAATTTTGAAACATACTCAAATCTACTGAGCTGAGAAGTTTCATTCAGAGCGTTATATTTACTTTTGATAATAATCTATTTTAATTTGAATTTCAATGCAGAATTATCGGCTTATTAATTTTGTTTCAGGCTCAGAGGATTTCGAAATTTTAATTAATTTTCATCGCAACAAATTTTCAATGCGTGATGATAGTTATGCAGGGTGACGATACTATCAGTGATTCATCTCCTTTTAACAATTTAAAATAAAGTAAACAACTGAAATACTCACTCATATACATTCTGGTACTCTTCAATTTCGAAAACGGAAAAGAATAAATAAGTTACGTCTGTTGAAAAATACATATATGAAAAAATTTCTGTTTGTTGGAAATTTATTATACTGATAAATCATTTTTTCGAAGACTGACAAATTCATAAGAAAACTACCATCAATGAAACTAATATAGAATTAGTAAAAATATATTGATAACGATAAGTAGTAATTTGATAGAACTCTGATTTAATTGCAATAAACAGAACAAAAATAAACATGAATCACTTCAACTATGGAGCCAATATATTAAGGAAGAAATGAATAAGAAAATAATCGTATCATACTATGAAACAGCTGTACGATTTTTTATTATAATGTATAAGAAAAGATATTGGAGATAGAGGTCTCAATCGTTTGGAAAATGAAAGAGGTTTAAAATTCAGTAGAAAGTTTGAAAAGAATTGGACAATTTTTTAGAATTTGTCAGGGAGTATCAGAAATTCGAAGATAATATCAATCTGTTGAGAGAACGACCATCCCATCTCACCCTTATCAGAATGCCTAATTGAAGATGCTGAAAAACTTATTTTTATTACATTAGTCAATCAGTATTCAGTATCCTAATTCATTCAAAATACGAGGAAAACATATACATTCAGTAAAAGAATTTAATTTATAGATCAGATACTCAAGCATGTACATAAATTCAAGTACAAAATTAATGTGTATGAATTTGGTATCGGTACGAAGAGTAATACTCATTCGGTATTCTAATAATTAGATACTTGATAACTAACTACTATGTATTGTTAATATGGAATCATAGGAGTAGTTTATATCTATGTGAGAATACAAATCAAATGATGATGATGCAATAGAGTCTCAAAGACATAATAATTGGAGAACACTTCTACGAATTCATTGAACAATAACTTATAATTGGAGTATTGCCATTAGAATCCAGATAATTTTTATTTTCTACAAAAAACAAGTTAAGCGTGTTAATCCTACTCAAAATTACTTTTTCATACAGTATTATTATGAAAACCTAAAGTTCAAGAGATATTTTTGATTCATAACTTAGAAACGGTATATTACAAGAAGTCATAATCAAATAATTGTTCATTTTTTTAACATAATCAGTAGGATAAAAGTGAGATGGTAAGACTTTGCTTGTGTTTCATATGGCATCTTAGAACTTCTATCAAATACCTTCGACTTCATCGAAAATAATTGATCTTTAGTTAAAAGACCAATACATTCAGTTTCATGAAAATACCATAACTGATCCATTTTTAGTAATATTGTCGTAGACTATTCGGGAATTTACTAATACTTGATAACCGAATCGCATAAAAAAAAACGAGAAGAGTTTAGCAGGGTCGCTTTGACTCTACCGACTGGTTAAATTGGGCGATGATGTTAGTAAAATTTTCATGGAAAAAAAAATTTATAGCTTTGGACAAAGTGATATTATGAATGAAAACTACTTAGTAAGTAAAGTATGAATCGAAATTGTCCACAAGTTGTCAAACTTTGGATTCTGCATAACTTTTTATGTTTCTTCAAATTATCAACTCATTTCAAAAACTAACTTTTTCGAAAAATTCCTAGAGTAGTGATCTCTTGAACGTCCTCGTAAGCATCTTATAAATAGTTAACATACATTTGGAAAGAATTGCGTTTGAAAATTATTATTTTTATCTGTCAAATACAATGGATGAAACCATTCAAACATTGAATGATAAAGACCAAAAACAATATCAGTTCTATTTCGAATAGCATTCGCCAGTTCACCTAAACATAGGATACGAAGTACAAAATGGTCAATAAAAATTTCATTGATAATCTACCGAGTAAATCACGTTTTGGACCAACATCCATAGCATTCCAATTGAATGAATATTTGGATGGCCACATTGTAAAACCTTCATGATGCTATGAAGAACAGAAAGAAGAATGATTATAATAATTTTATTCATCTTCTAGGTTAAATATAAGTAAACCTTGCTATCGAAAACAATATATCTAAATGAAATGGAAAGAGACAAAAATAATTAGAAACCAATGATGTGAATGTACTTTGCACCGGCTGCAGCAAAAATATCGGCCCATTCATTGGGATCTGAAAGAAAACTGTTGTTCAATTCAAAATAAGAGAAAAATGATGTTCATTTACCATAAAGTTCCGCATGAAATTGTTCAGCAAAATCTGCATATGTCCAGTCGGTTGGATAATTATTATTCATAAAAGCAACAATGTTGACATTTGGTTTGTCTCCTTTCCATAGCCACCACATCCTATATAGATGAAAGTAAAAACAAAAAAACAACTGGTATTCTATTGTGATAGTATAAGAAAATTTCAATGTTCGTTGATTTTTAAAGAAAATAACTATTTGAAAACGTACCATTCAGATCCAATCGATGGAACACTATATACACCCCAATTAATGAAGATACCTATCTTACTCTCATCGTACCATGCAGGTAGTGGACGTGAGTCCAATGATTTCCAATCTGGTGTATATTGTTGTTCACTCAATGGTATAAGAAAACCACAAATAATGGTAATAAATATTACTGTTGAATAAGACAGCATTTTTCTTATTGATAAAAAATGTCGTATGTAAAGCTAGGTTATCTGTAAAAACGAATATACAAAAGCCATGATTCTGATATAGACAAAGTGAATAGAAGATAAGATAATAGTCATCCAGATAACGGTGTTGGATAGAAGATTTTAAATATTTCTATATTAAGAACTTCTCCTGAAGTAGTCTTTTCGAAAGTAAAAACGTCATTTTAAACCTATTTTCTTATAGATTATATGAACGATTGGATTTCTACATGAAATTGCAGCATATCTCTTCTGTCATTAAAATGGAGGTGTAATTGTGGGAGGTACTTCTCATTTACGATCATAAGTCAAATAAAATTTTTAAATCTTGTTAAAATTTTAAAATTCAATAAATATTTAAGTTAAGAAATTAAACTCTTTGTTTTTCCAAAACTATAAAAACTTAATTCATTTAATTTTTGAGTTTTAATTGATACATGCTCATATTTAACAAGTTTCACTGTCAAGTTCGAATCGTACGAAGTATGGGTTGATATAGAGTTCGCTGTTAATTTCTGCTTCAGTTTAGGAGGACGTAGGGTACACTAGAAAATCTAGCATAAATCTCACTGAGTGTAACAAAGATTTAGAAGTGTCGCGTGTGAACAAAGAGACACCCACACCCTCTGTAAATTATTGTGGAAGAGTAATGAAAACTGAAAGGATATTGTAATTCTTTCAGTTAAACACAAAAAAGAATCACATATTGCATACATGTACAACAGAGGTCAGAAACAAGTCATAAGTGCTTAGTAATTATCAAAAACTCGTTAGCTGAAGCGCCAAGATATGATAAGATATTTCATGTCTTATAGCGGCTTTCAAATTTTCGGGAAATCGCCAGATGATCTTCGGGTAGCTGCACCTTCGAATTCTGCAGAATGTTCATAATACTGCGGACAGTCGGATCTCGTACGGTATCGACTTCTGTCAATCGGAGAGAAGAGGGTGTGGGTGTAGGTGTGGCGTAAAAGAAGAACCACATCCACCCACACCCTGCTAGGTTACCTGTCAAACTATTGCCATCTAGGATAATAAACCGGTCGAATCGGGTTTGACAATATGTTTGACTTAGGTCAGAGTTTCGTTTTCCTTGCATGAAACTACTGCATAGTGCTGCTTGCTCTAAACCCAATTGGAATTCGTTCATTACTTTACATTTGTATTCCTTTTCATCAAACGATTCCTTCAGTTTTTCAGTCATCGTGCAGCAGACCTGACCGCCTAGAGCGATTGTTTGCGGGCAATAGTGGCCATAGTTGTCTAATAGAGAGCACAGTCGTTGATATTGTTTACTCGAGGAGTCTCCACTTTGAATTATACAATCAACTGCTTCAATAAAATCTGATTTCAGCTTGACCATATCCTTATCGAGATGGGTGGGGTGTGGGTGTGAGTGCAGATGAAGAGATACAATACACCAACACCCACCCCCACACCCTTGAAGTGTTCTCCAAAAAGCTTTATTATAGTATTCAGGGCATGTTTTCAAAATCGATGCTTCTACAGAGAATAAAGTAGATTTTTTCGAAACATACGAATTTAGGTTGATTTTCAGAAAAGCTCAGCTGAATACTGTAATAAAGTCTTTTGCAAAACACTCCTAAGATAGCAGTCGATGCGGATTTACATCTCTTTTTGAACGTCGAAAAGTGCAGATCATCATCTTGTGTCTATCAAAATATTCTAAAAAGACTTTCACGTATTTTCATATGAAATAATAGTTGTTGATGTGTATTACAGTAACAAAAAAGATATTAGTTGTTTTCCTAATACACTTTTATGCTTTAAATCATATTTATTCTTTAATATAAATATACTATATGTTGCAACACACTCAAAGCTTCCCTCTTCTTTATATAGCAATTTAATAAATAAAAGAGATATACCGATGAAAATTTAAAATGGCTGTTTTTTTCTCTCTTACTGTAAAATTCAAAGTCTGATCATCTGATCTAATATCCTCACATTTTATAGGGTCTAAAAATAATAAGAGAAGAAGAAAATGGGTCATATTCTTTCTAAAAAAATCTATTATGTTTTTTATTTCACAATATTGTCATTTTGCTTCCATAAATCGGCAAGATTATACACGAGATGCGGTTCACTATTGTCTTTCGGATTATTCCGATAGATGATCAATTGATATGTGTTAAAATTAAAATGGATCGTACAAAGTGTTGCTGTATTGTTCGTATCCATGTCAGGAATCATAAAAATCGGAAATTGTTTATTGGCACGATCACCTAATAAAGTTAAAGCATCTTTTTCTGTACGTATCTCTCCAAATTCAAGTCCACGTTGAGCACGATTTCGACTTGATAAAAGTCCTGGTCGTTCAACAATCAATCCTTGAAGTCGGTCATAATGATTGTAATGAAGAAGATAATTCAAGGCAATACAAATATCATCTGAAAAAAAAACGAAGATGTCGTTATAAAGATATTAGTAAAATATCTATTCTACTATTATTTTCTTTATATTGTTCATATTGTTTGCTGTTTAGAACAAGACATTTACTGATGAAGTTCTTGGTTGTCATATTATCATTACTATTCAAATTTGGTCCTAACTCATAGTTCAGTAAATAACGTTGTTGATTATTGTCTGCATGAAAAAATGTACCATTAATACAAAAACCAAAGGCAATGGGTGTTCCATGAAGAAGTTTATCCAATTCATTTTCATTAGCAACAGAAAGAAGTGCTCGATTGATAATTTGTCTTGGAATTCGATTTTCTCCAATATAATTTGGAAGAAGAGCATTTAAGGCAAAAACAAAACCATGCATATTTGTACCGAACGCAGTACCTAAATGATGATACAATCTAATGTAGAAAAAGTTTAGAGATAATTCATTTATTCCCATTCCTGATTCTCGAGAAAAATTTCCTAACTAGACAGACAGTTCATATGAATAAAGTAATATCATACCTGGAATGACACCAGCATAGCAATAGGCAAGGAATCGTTCATTAGGACTATGTCTGGTACCACCGTCGTATGGACTCGATTTGATATCGGCCTCAACTAGAAAAGCCGTATCGTATAATCCTGCCGTATTATCTTCATTATGTAATAATGCAAATGTATTGGTATCTGTACGATTAATAAGTACAGTGCTACATCCCTTTGTTTCACTCGGATTATTTTCTTGTTGTGTATGATCAATTGTTTTTTCTTGTAAAAGACGAAGTGCAGTTCGTGTTTCATTGGCAAAGTTTAACACAAGTAAGTGTTCGAATAGAATTTCAGAACCATCAGCAAGACCACAAATTTCATCCCAATACCAAGGAAACATTGTACGAATAGCATTTATAAAACCTTGATGTAATTTGTGACCTTCTTCTGTTTGAACAAAATTGAATAAAGACTCGAAATGGATTTGATCATTGATAATACGCTTCTGAATTCGTTCACGAGATTTCATCCCGATATCTCGAGCACATTCGTAATGAGTACCTCGTACTCGATACAAAGGAATATTGGAGGATGACATTGTACAACAACTTGAATTCACACCTCTTGTTCGGATCACAGAATTCTCATTTAAGGAGATAAACGTCAAGAAGAATGAAAAAAAAAACAAGCACTATATAATAAACAAGGAAAAGAACTAATGGCAAAAGAAAGAAAAAGAGGACATAGCGAACCTGAAGATGTCAGACTATAACAAGAATGATATGAAAATTGATATACGTACGATGTATTTCACGTTCCACAACTCACTGTACTGAGCACTTTTTTTTTGAAAACCAGAAAAACTGAAACTGAAAGTTTTATAAAACTTAGAGCGCCATTGTATGTTTGACTCTCGATAAAAAGCTGATTGTATTGCCATTAGGATACGGTTCCTTCGCTGTCTACACTGAATTCCAAAGGAACTTTTAGATCGTAGTTTAGTTTTCTAAAAACTTCAAACTTTTTTTTCTCTAATTTAATCGTACAAAAAGAATTTTATCTTGCAATCACAGATAATTTTCGAGAACGCATTTTCGAGTCTTTTGAAGTGAACTTACTCTCGGCTAATCGCTGGAAACAACAGCAACTTTCTACTCCTACATCATTTCTTTTTCAACCCACTTCTTAGCGGGATATGAACCATTTTTTTGTTTGTTTAGAACTGATAAGATATTTGACATAATCTGCCGGTACTAAAGCGCATAGATTTTAATGAAACCCAAGTATGTTCTATTAAAGCATGTGAAAACGATCCTAATTCAGTTTGGAAACGTAAAAGCGCATTATTTCTCAGAATGAAAATAGAAATCATTAGCATAAGTGACGAACAGAGTACGAAAAAACTGCATAACTATTAAAGGATGCCTTAGTAAAACAATGAAACAAAGAACTGTTTGTCTTGTCAATAAAACTGTCTCAATAAACACCAGATTTATCGAGCTTTAAAAAACATTCGTGCTCTAAAATAATCGACAATTGTACAGTTTAAGAATCACTAACTTCATCTTTCTCTTCACAATCTGCATACGAATGATTTCTCTACAAATTCATGAATATAGAATTTTGACGGCCAAATACACATTGGAAATGTGAATAGAAGTGAAAAACGAAATCCTAATCATACTTTGAACAGAATTGAAACGCTAGTTGTATCGTCAAACAAACGATGTATACGAAGACAGTTTTCACTTCTGAATATGGTTTTCACCTAGATAACAAGTACAAGACCAGTAATTAGAACGTACACTGTCGGCTGTACAAAACAAATCACGATGTTTACTAACTTGTTCAATAATTAAGTTAATGTGAAAGTAACAGGCTCGATCCTCAGTAAGAAAAACACCATTTTCTCTTTGTTGTTTGATGAGAGAAATGAGAACTACAATACTTGTGAATAGATGAATAACCAACGGAAGTAAAACAGCCATAACTTTTGAAGGAAGAACCATGGGTAAAAATCCTTTTAGGCTTTTTACTACCTCAATACGCTCTATTAAATGAGATATAAATGAGTCAAAACGGGAGGCTGCACTTCAGAAAATTCGCTCGTTAGTTTTGTATGCTGAACACGAATCTAACATAGAATTCTCATTTTGATAAGAGTTACTAAAGTCAAAACCAGAAAAAAAATCTTTAAAAATGTATAAACTAATGGGCTTTTTCTTAAAATAGTGTGCAGTAGTTCGCATTTGTTTTGAAGATTTTCTAAATTGCACCATGTTTTTTTTTTCGTTTGTTTTATACATCAACAGATGCAATTTTTGACGAGCTCTCATAATCCGTTCTCAATTTTCTGGGACACCTGGATAATAGTGCTCTTTTGACCTAAATACATAAAAGATTTTGTTTGCAGATTTGCAATGAATTTTTGTATTTTGATTTTTTTCTTAATAAAAGAGACGATAGAAAAGATTCCTATATAAAATTTTATAGAGCAGCTTCCGCGCTATCGAATGGTATATAGTACTTAAAGATTTGGCAAAAATATAAGCTGAACAAAAAAGTTCAAAAAGGTTCAAAAAAATGAGAGCTTTAATAGGTTCGATGAGAGTGGTCTGCTTGTGTCCCTCATTTCTTTGCAGCTACATTGACATTTGATCCTAACATTTTGGCTTTTGTATATACACACTATGGCCTTTCAAAGTAAATATTAAAGATCAAAATCTAATTTCTACCGCCGAACAGATTGGTGTATGGTCTGGCGAAGTCTCTCTTAATTTATTTGATAAAACTCACCCTCCCCTTGCAGATAGTCGTCACAAGCTGTGCAAGAGGTTGTCATAAACACTTATAGATAACAACAGAGCGAACACCGTTTCTCTTTTGTCTATGTATATGTCTGCGTAGATCTATGATGATGATGTTTTTTCTCTCAATCTTGCAGATTTGATCTGTCATGGACATATCATGGTCAATTGTTGGATCACTCTTCATTGCTGTTCTTATCGTTTACATTGTCTATCTGTTTTTGAATTCTATTAAAATAGACAACTCATCGATTCTGTTTGTTAGATCACAAAATTATTCGATTGTGGGTCATCCATTCGCGTTTTCTTACGATCGAATTAATTTTTTGATTA